ACCTTCTCCCCCCCCCCCCCCCTCCAACCTACTCCACCCTCCTCCTCCTCCTCCTCCTCCACCTTCTCCACCGTCTTCCACTTACCCCATAAGCTCGAAGGTAATACACAGGTGGTTCCGGAAATAGAAATAGTCCAGCATGTGGATGACATTGTGGTGGTGGTCGCCGTCGCGTCTCCGCAGGTGGTCGAGGATCTTGACTTCCACTAAGGCCTGGTGGTGGAATCTCTTCTTGTTCCTGGGGTGGAAGAGGGAGAAGTGGAGAGGTCAGTGTGGTTGAAAGTGGCGTGTGGAACAAAGAATAAAGATGAACAATCCATTTAATGTATATCTATTTGCGACAAAAAGAGTTAAGTAAAAATGATACCCAAGAAGAATAAACATTTTTTTTGTTTGCTTCATTTACATTAAAAAAAATGTTGGTTATATTTCTACGTAGAGAGTGATAAGTGAATTAAGGAAGGGAGAAGAGAGGGAGAAAATACGGAAGGGAGAGAAAGGAGGAGAGAGGAGGAGAGAGAAGAGATAAAGGCAAGGAAAAGAGGAGGAAAATAAGGAAAAGGAGATGGAGGTAAGGAAAAAGAAAAAGAAAGAGGGGGAAAGAGGGAGCAATAAAGAGAGAGAGAGAGAGAGAGAGAGAGAGAGAGAGAGAGAGAGAGAGAGAGAGAGAGAGAGAGAGAGAGAGAGAGAGAGAGAGAGAGAGAGAGAGAGAGAGAGAGAGAGAGAGAAGGCAGAAAAGAGATAGTAAAAAAGGAGGAGAAATGAAAAAACAGTGACGAAAATAGAATAAAACAAAACAATCACAAATAAAAAAACAGAAAAGAAATGAACAAAAAGAAAGAAAAAAAAACTAAAATACAAACAGGAAAAATAACATAAAAAAGAAAACAGGAAAAACACACACAGAAAAGAAAAGAAAGTACAAGAAAACACAAGAAAATAAGGAAAGAGACAGGAAAGGAGCAGATCCCGTTCTCTCGAGGCTCCTTGGCGCGGCCGCAGATTAACTGTTCTTAATTATTTTCCCATTACACGTGATTGGTTCCTGTGTAATGATATTAACTAAGCCTAGGATACTTACGCACATGCATAACCACACATACATACATACATACAGACATACGTACCTACATACATACAGAACATACAAACATACATGCATTCACACACACACACATACACACTCACACACACACACACACGCACGCACACACACAAACACACGCACGCACACACACACACACACACACACACACACACACACACACACACACACACACACACACACACACACACACACACATATATATATATATATATATATATATATATATATAAATGAAGTTGCTTTTTCATATCTGCCCTGATACCCGGTCAGGTTAAAAAATAATGAGGTACTATAATATTTTCCTAACATTGTATCATTTCCTATTTTATGCAGAAAATGTAATAAAGAGAGTGTATTTCTTTATTGTTTTGTCTCTCTGTCTCTCGTTCTTCATCTTTCTGTCTTTCCTTTTTTTTCTTTCTTTCTGTGTTTATTTCTTTATCTTTATGTCTCTCTCTTTCTTTCTGTTTCTCTCTCTTCTTCTGTGTTCTCTATTCCTCTTTTTGTTTCTCTTCTCCTCTCTCTTCTCTTTTCATTTCTCTTCTTCTCTCTTTCCTTCTACCTCTCTCGTCTTCTCCCCCCCTCCCCCCTCTCTCCCACCCTCTTAATCACTAACCCGACCTCTACCTCCACTCCCCCCCCTTCCTCCTCCCTCTCACCACTTTATGACCACCTCCCTCCCTACCCCCCCCTCACCCTTCTCTCTCCTTCCTCTCTCATCTCATTCCCCTCTCCCCCCCTCTCTCCTCTCCTCCTTCTCCCCTTTCCTCCTCTCCGTCTACTCTCCTCCTCCTCCTCCCTCTTCCCCTCTCCTTCCTCCTCCTCCTTCTTCCCTTCTCCTCCTCCACCCTTTACCCTTTCTCCCCTCTCCTTCCTCCTCCTCCTTTTTCCCCTCTCTCCTTCCTCTTCCCCTCTCCTCCTCTCTCCTTCCTCCTCCCTCCCCCTCCACCCTCTCTCCCCTCCCCTCTTCTCCTCTCTCCTTCCTCTTCCCCTCTCTCATTCCTCCTCCCCCTCTCTCCCCTCTCCTCCCTCCTTCCCCTCTTCCCCTCTCCTTCCTCCTCCTCCACCCTTTTCCCCTCTCCTTTCCTCCTCCCCCTCTCCCCCTCTTCGCCGTTCCTTCGATCAATATTACGGAGCTTGAAGGGCGCCCTCAGAGGGAGAGGCATCACAGGAGAAGACGCCTATTTGGGGGGGGGGGGGGGAGACAAGGTGACAGGGGTGGGGGGAGACAAGGTGACAGGGGGGAGGGGGGGAGACAAGGTGACAAGGGGGAGGGGGGGGAGACAAGGTGACAGGGGGGAGGGGGGAGACAAGGTGACAGGGGGAGGGGGGGAGACAAGGTGACAGGGGGGAGGGGGGGGAGACAAGGTGACAAGGGGGAGGGGGGGGAGACAAGGTGACAAGGGGGAGCGGGAAGGAGAAGGAGAAGGGGGGAGGGGGGGGAGGAAGAGAGAGGGGGGGGGGGAAGAAAAGGATCATCTCTGAGAGGGACGTCCCTTTAGGGGGGGTAGGGGTAGGGGGGGAAATCTCTCTCTCTCTCTCTCTACCTTAAGAAGTACTGAAGGAGAAAAGAAAAGAAAAAAAGAAAAAAGAGAGAGAGAGAGAGAGAGAGAGAGAGAGAGAGAGAGAGAGGGAGAGAAAAGGTTAAGAATGTCCCTTGTAGAGAGGAATAAAAGACGGCCGTTCGGGAGGGGGGGGGGGGGGGGGGGGGGGGGGGGGGGGGGGGGGGGGGGAGGAGGAGGAAGAGGAAGGGGGGGAGAAATTTTCGAAAGGTGAGAATGTTGAATGGTGTCGCTCTTGGTGATTTCTTCTCTCGTCTCTCTCCCTCTTCCTTTCTTTCTTCTTCTTTTTTCTTTCTGTTTTATTTCTCTTTGTTTCTGTTTCTTCTGCCTCCCTTTCTCTTTCTTTCTTTTTTTCTTTCTCTTTGTCTTTCTACTTCTTCTCTTTCTCTTTTTTTTTCTCTTTGCCTTTCTGTTTCTTCTTCCTCTCTCTTGTCACTTTCTGTTTCTCTTTATTTTTATTTTTATTTATCTTTCTGTTTCTTCTTCCTCTCTTTCTCTTGTCACTTTCTCTCTTTCTTTTTTCCTTCTCTTTGCCTTTCTGATTATTCTTTCTTTTATCTTCTTATCTCCCTTTTTTGGGGTTCTTCCTCTCTTTCTTTTCCTGTCTATTTATCTATTTTTTTATCTCTACTTTTTTTAATCGCATCTTTATATCTTATTTCTAATTTTGTGACTTGATTCTTCTCTGTCCTTCCTACTTCCTTTCTTTATTTTCATCTTCCTTTCTCTCCTTTTATCTGTTGGCTTCTCACCCTCTCCCTCTTCTTCAATTACATTTATCTTTTTTTGGGGAGTGAATTTATCGAGTAATAAAGAGTAATAAAACTGTTATACACTCTTTTTTTCCTTCTCTCTTTTTCTTTCTTTCTTTCTATCTACTCTATTCTACCCTTCCCTCTCCTCTGCTCTCTCACTCTTTCATTCTTACACTCACCCTATCTACCCCCCCACCTCTCGTTCTCGCTCTCGCTCTCTTTCTCTCTCTCTCTCTCTCTCTTTCGCTTTCGCTCTCTCTCTCTCTCTCTCTCTCGCTCTCTCTCTCTTTCTTTCTCTCTCGCTCTCGCTTTCGCTCTCTCTCTCTCTCTCTCTCTCTCTCTCTCTCTCTCTCTCTCTCTCTCTCTCTCGCTCTCTCTCTCTCTCGCTCTCTCTCTCTCACTCTCGTTCTCTCTCTCACTCACGTTCTCTCTCCTTCACTCTCACTCTCCCTCTCACTCTTACTCACACATACTCTCACTCCCCTCCCCATCCACCCCCCCCCCCAAAAAAAAAAAAAGAAGAAGAAAAAAAAAAAAAAAAAACTCACCTGATGATCTTGATGGCCACGTGTTCCCCTGACCTGTGATCGATGGCGCGGATGACCTGGCCGAATGACCCCTTGCCAATGACCTCCAGGATCTCGTATCGGTAACTGATGTGATCGTGCATGACCTGGAGAGAGAAAAGGGAGAAATGGAGAAGAAGAGAAAAAAGAAGGTTATTGGAAATTGCTTACATGGAATAATGGAGAACAGATAAATATCCGATATTATTATTGTTATTTTTTATTGCTATCATTATTATTATTACTATTATTATCATTATTATTACTATTATTATTACTATTACTATTATTACTTTTCATTATTATTACTATTATCATCATTACCATTATCATTATTATTATTATTATTATTATTATTATTATTACCTCCCCCCTCCCCCTCTCCCTCCCCTCCCTCCCTCCCTCCCCCTCCTCTCCCCTCCTCTTTCTCTTACCTTATTATAGCTCCCGTTCTCGTCGTCGAAGCCCCCGTTGAGCTGGGCGCCCTCCTCCCCGTGGATCTCTTGCGCGCGTCGAGGCCCAGGTAGAAGATCTCGGGGTAGGCCTCGATCTCTCGCCGCTCGTACTCCGTCAGCCGCTCTCCGTACAAGCTTGAGAGCTTCTGCGATTGGAGGGGGGGGGGAAGGTTATTTTTTATTGCTATCATTATTATTATTACTATATTATCATTATTATTACTATTATTATTACTATTACTATTATTACTTTTCATTATTATTACTATTATCATCATTACCATTATCATTATTATTTATTATTATTATTATTATTATTACCTCCCCCCTCCCCCTCTCCCTCCCCTCCCTCCCTCCCTCCCCTCCCCTCCCCTCCTTTCTCTCTCTTACCTTATTATAGCTCCCGTTCTCGTCGTCGAAGCCCCCGTTGAGCTGGGCGCCCTCCTCCCCGTGGATCTTGCGCGCGTCGAGGCCCAGGTAGAAGATCTCGGGGTAGGCCTCGATCTCTCGCCGCTCGTACTCCGTCAGCCGCTCTCCGTACAGCTTGAGAGCTT